TCGATGACTGATGTCTCAGTCGGAGGGCGCTTGGACGTGATCCGCCCCCGCTTCACCTCGGAGCCCGTCGTGCCCTGGTCGACCTTCTGGCCGTCGCCCGTCTTGTCTGCCTTGGTCTTCTTGCCCTTGCCGCTCATGGCAATGTAGTCGCGTGGAGTGGGTGCAGGCGGTGGTGCAGATGCCAAGGCCTTTAACGTTTCAGCTGTCAGCGGCATGCCACCAACCTGTTTGGATTTTCCACTTGATTTCCAGAACAGCTTAGCTTCGAGCTCGTCGATGTCAAAAGGCTTCTCGATAGTGGTCTCCTCATCGGTGCTGGGGACATCGACCAGCGGGACCTTAGGCTTGGGTGGGGCGGGTACCTCCACAACTTCATCATCATCATGATGATCATCAGCACTGTATTTGCTCTTGTCGATGTCCCTGCAGGCAGCCATCTTGTCGATGATGATCTGGAGCTGGCCGTGACCTTTCGGTGCTCGCTTGGTGGTGCGGGCAATACTCTGCAACGACATCATCATAACACGCAAGCCGTATATGGATTTATCTGAGTCAGTGTAGCTCCAGGTCATGGTGTTTCTGGTCAACCACGCGTCAAACTGTTTTTGAAACAACCTTTGATTAGGCACCAACCCTCCTGATTTATCAACTATGCCATTGATCAAGTTGAACTGCTTTGATACCAATGCCCATGAACTCGTCAAGCCTTGCTTGGTCACCTTAGGAACGTTCCATAGCACACCAGGTTTGCAACTAGAGACCTGCACGTGATCCGAAAAGAGATCGTATGAGACATCGTTTGGTAAGTCAATCCCCTTGGTACGTTTGGCCGACATGCTCACACGAATCTTCGAAAACCAAAAAAAGCTGCGGTGATGATGAGGGTGGTGATGGTGACGGTGGGAGACCTCAGGGATTCTGTGGATCTTTCCAAGCCCCACGGCCTTCCCAAACCCCAGGATCCAGGATCCGAAACCCCAGGGCCCAGAACCCCGACCCCAGGACCCTCGAGCTGGGATGTTAGCCAACGCTCAGGCGAAGAGCTACTTACTCCGAATATGGGATGTGACCAGCGCTACGGCGAGGAGACACCCAACGCATTTAAACGAACATTGCGCGTGAAACGCTCGAACTCATATAGTTATATATATGTATATGTGTGTATGTATGTATGTATATATGTATGTATGTATGTATGTATGTATGTATGTATGTATGTATATGTATGTATATGTATAAAGTGCACGCCCCGCTGTTATGTGGCAACACTCGCAAATACACAACAGAGAGGATAAATAATTCGAGGCGGGGCCATCTTTAAAACATGAAAATAAAGAAAAACATGTATAGATAAATGTGCTCACGCTATATATAAAAGAAAAACATTGTTTTCAAGATGGATTTCAAAGAAATCTTTATATTGTGTCTTTAAATCGTACGTCCAGCTGGCCTTCTCTTTTATATTAACAAGAATCTTGTATATATAGAAGAGTTTGAGCGTGTGGGGACCCCGGACTGACCCCGGACTGACCCCGGACTGACCCCGGACTGACCCCGGACTGATCTTGGACTGACCCCGGACTGACCCCCCCGGACTGACCCCGGACTGACTCCGGACTGACCCCGGACTGACCCCGGACTGACCCCGGACTGACCCCAGACTGACCCCGGACTGACCTCGGACTAACCCCGGACCGACCCCGGACCGACCCCGGACTGACCCCGGACGGACTGACAACGGACGGACTGACCCCGGACTGACCCCGGACTGACCCCGGACTGACCCCGGACTGGCTCCGCCGACCCCGGACTGACCCCGGACTGACCCCGGACTGACCCCGGACTGACCCCGGACTGACCCCGGACTGGCCCCGGACTGACCCCGGACTGACCCCGGACTGACCCCGGACTGACCCCGGACTGACCCCGGACTGACCCCGGACTGACCCCGGACTGACCAGCGACCCCGGACCGACCTACCCCTAACTGACCCCGGACCGACTTCGGACCCTGGAGTGACCTCGGACTGACCCGGGTCTGACCCCAGACATACAGAACGTTGTGTTTAGTATTCGAGTCCCGGCTCGGTAAAACTAGACTCGGTGAAAATAGATCTCGGCTAAACTAGGTCGCAATCTGATATCTAATTTAAACGAGTGGAGAGTATTCTTGAACACTCCTCCTGTAGAGGGGCACGCCCGCCGTAAAACCAGCCGCTTCTCTCGCTGTCCTCGCTGGCCCCCAACCAACCAGCACTGGCCACCACCAACCTCCAACCGCTCTTCTCCAAGGCCACGCTAACGGCGATGCTGCTTGACGGTGATGTTGGAAACCGCATTGTAGGAAATCACGAACCACACTTTCCTAAATTTTCAATATGCCGATGTATCGAACGACAGCGACACGGCGAATTGTGGGAAAGCGCGAACCGCGCCTTCCAACAATACCGAAACCTACATCGCCGTTACCTGCATCGTCCCAGTTTGGCCCCGCCGCCGCGCCGCCTGCACCGCGCCCGCCTGCTGCTCTGCCCCCCTCGAGGGCGACCGCGGCCCTCCCACGGCGAGGATCGCTCGATGTCGGCCGACTGTGTGCCGCTGGCCCGCTGGACAGAGAAAAGCCTTCTCGCAAACGCACAGCACGAAGGAAACGAACAGGACAGGGCTGCTCATCGGACGCCAAGTGAGCGACGGCTATTGTTTGTTTTGCCAAAGGGGGGCTCAAGAGGCTTCAGAGACTCTGGGCCACAGTCCGATGATGATGAAAGCCGTGCCACCTCCCCAGTGGCACAGCGGCCTGTGCAAGTGAGCGACGGCTATGGGGGTCGGGGTGATTGTGCTCTCCCTCGGCACGCCTCCTGTGCCGTTGGGTCCCGGTGCCCTCTCCGCCGCCACGCGCGCACGCTCTCTCGCTGACTCGCCCAGGCCCCCCCCTCCCAGTCCAGCCTGGCCTGGCCGCTACGCTGCCTGCATCATCACCGCGCTGCCCGCTGCTCCGTCCCCCCCCCCCCCCCCGCTCGAGAGCGATCGCGGCCGTCCGGCGATGCCGCTCGCTCGACGTCGGCCGACTGCCTGCCACTAGCCAAGGCCGCCCACGGCGACCGCAGACCTGAACACCGACCGAACCGGCAGCGAAACCGAGGCCGACCGGAATCGACCGGCCGCGAGCAGCCTGGATTGAGCAAGACCGACCGTCCCGGCATTCCTATAGTCCTACCGGGAGTCCTACCACAAAATGTTCTTCGAACCCAAACATGTTACAATAACAAAACATGTTCTTAGAACCCGATATGAGAAAAAAAAAAAAAAAAAAAAAAAAAAAAAACAGACTCCACCAGAAATGTTCTAAGAACATTTCGTGGAAACCTTCAAAAGAGTTCTTATAACAGTGTTTGGTAGGGCCATAGGCGAGCCAGGACGCTTCGCCGCTGCTTGACTGGAAGGGCTCCGCGACCCGGCAGGGGCACCATGACCGACCGCACCGAACGGACCGCACCATAACCGACTGCGACGTATCCGCGACCCGTGATCAACACTGCTGGCCCACTGGCAGCCCTCAGCCACGAATGCCCACGCCGGCGTCGTCGCCGCGCCCTCTCGGCGCGAGACTCACCGTAGCGTCGCCCCGCGCACGGATCGGGCCACAGAGGAAGCTCCGCCGACTGCTGCAGTGGGGGAGCTCGCACAGCGAAGTTGGCAGTCGTATCTTAAGACGTATGTTGCAAACAATGGGCGTGTCGCTTGAGACATCCTCCCAAAAATGGAGATCTTGAAATCGCTCGCCAAATTTTCGGATCCTCGCAAATGGGCGTTTCGCCTGAGACATCCTCCCCCGCCCTCCTCGGGGACTGCCAAGTGCGCCCCTGACCCAAGATGCCCAAAGCTTCTCGCTCCATTTGGAGCCCCTGAGGCCATCCCTGGGCCTCGCGAGGGGGCCTCCTTGGATATCCTGGGGGTTGGCTTGCCGGCCTGCCCATACCTGATAACTGCATCTCCTCCTCCTCCTCCTCCTCGCCCCTCGTCCTCCTCGTCCTCCTCGTCGTCCTGTTCCTCCTCCTCCTCCTCCTCCTCCCTCCTCCTCCCCTCCTCCCCCTCCTCCTCCTCCCTCCTCCCTCCTCCTCCTCCCCCTCCTCCTCCTCCTCCCTCCTCCCTCCTCCCTCCCTCCCTCCTCCCTCCTCCCTCCCCCTCCCTCCCTCCTCCCTCTCCCTCCTCCCCCTCCCTCCTCCCTCCTCCCTCCTCCCTCCTCCTCCTCCTCCTCCTCCTCCTCCTCCTCCTCCTCCTCCTCCTCCTCCTCCTCCTCCTCCTCCTCCCACGCGAGAAGAGGCGGCCCATGACACATACGGCTCCACAGCAAGCCTGGGGTCGGCCCAGGCCCTCTCGCGCTGCCGAAAAATCACGACGGGCTTCTGGCAAAATTTTGGCTCCGGGGGCCCTCACCGGGCCCAGGTTCCGTCAACAGGACGAAGCGCCGGTCTGGGCAAGAGGTCCGAGACTCAGGGGGGGCGGGGTGTGGAAAAAGCAACACGTCTCAGCTCCGGGGAGTCCCAAAGCAAACCTGGGTGGCGGCAAGGCCCTTCGGATGAATCGTCCGCCCTTCGGGCTGGGGGCAAGCTTTCTCGGTCAGGGAAGCAGCAAGTCCAGGCACAAGCAGGGCGGATAGGGAGGGAAGAGGGCGGGGAGGAGAAAGGCGAGAGATGGGTAGGGATGCGTGAAGAAGGGGGGTTGAAGCGGGGCCAAAGATATGCCAATGGAACCGCTAATCCCTCCTCGACCCCATCCCAAGATCGCTCAAGAACACCCATGTCCTCGAGGAAGAGGAGGAGGAGGAGAAGGAGGAAGAAGAGGAGGAGGTGGATAGGCAAGCCGAGCAGGAGGTAGACATGGAGGAACGAGATGATGTGGAGGGACGATGAACAGAGAGGAGGAGGAAAGGCTAGAAACTTCTCCTCCGAAGCAAAAGGGAAAGAGAGGGAAGAGCTCATTCTTGCTTAGGCAGGGTGCCTCGAAGCCTCCCTCCTTGGCGATTGAAAGCAGCGCCGCCCACTGGAAGAGGTGGTTGCCGAGGCGGCCGCGGTTGACCTGCGTCGTTGCCGTTGCCGCCGCCGTTGCTGCCGTCGCAATCGCAACCACCTCCGCCGCCGTCCCAAATTTCTCTCGCGTCGTGAACGAAATAAGGACGGCGGCCTTTGGGCCGTTAGTGGCCTGTGGGGACACACGCTCACCGGACCCCCAGGGCCACAGAAAAGCGACCCGGGATAAGAAACGGGTCACCGGGAAGGGGTCCAGACCTCTGGAGGTCCACTGCGCGACATTTGTTCTGCTTCTGTTTGGGAGCGCCTGTGCTGCGCGGAAGGCAGAGGCCATGACCCTCTTCGGGACCCGACCTCCGAGCTCCAGCCCAAGGAGAAGACGGGCCCGCCGAGAGGTCCAGACGAGCGGGCGAAGCACATAGCCCCCAGGGGTCGAACCATCGAGCCTTGAGCTCCGCCGACTGGCTCAAAACACAACACAAAAAGCCGTCCAGGGTCTGGGCCGCACGCCGCCACCGCTCTCGCCGTCGCCGTCGCTGCCGCCGGAGGAGGCGGTCGTGGTCGGCCTGAGTGACCACGATGCGCCCCTTGTTCGTGCTGCGCTGGTGCACCAGCGCGTCCACTCTACATTCCTGGGGGGGGGAGCGGGGAAAGAGCGACCTCACCCGCCACCAGGGGACGCAACCCTACCTGGTCGACCCGACACAAATTCACCAGCGTACGGGATAAAGCCAACATTAACTCTCTTGACTCATCCCAAACATGCACAGACATATTTTCGACATGCGAGAATGCGGTTGCTGCCTCCCTCAGACGCACGACGCGACCACGCAGACGACCGTGGGACTGGCGAGTCACAAGTAATTCATACCTATACTACCACCCGAGTAATAGGGAGGTTGGGGGGGACAGAACCAACTCAAGGCAATCTTGGTACTTGATGAAGACGATGCCGGTGATGCGCCTTAGGGTTGGCGACGACGCGTGATAGTGATGCTGGTCGAAGTGACTGCTGTTGTTTGTCATCCGACCTGGCGCGCTCCAGACAAGAGGGACGGCGCGATCGAGACACTGGGAATCAAGAAAGATCGCCCCATGGATTCTCCGAGGCACTGTCCTGCGCGGCGTCGGCTGGGCGAGCGGCACCGCCAACTCGGGAACTCCGGTCGCTGCTCGGTTCGCCCGTCTGGGGCGCCGTCCGGAGGAGCCGACTTCAGCGTAGCAATCTCCAGGGACCTGAAGCATGCCTGCTCGAGGAAGGACTGCGGCGGCACGGGCACGGCCGTCGTGCTGGCAGAGCCTGGCACGCGCCCTCCAGTGTGGCCGAGGATCGTCAGGCCCGTGTCGGGTACACAATGTTGTCCTTGTTCTCCGCTTCTCTGTGCTGCACGTGCATATCGGATCGCATTCGCGAAAGCATCGCTAAAGCGCTGACGTCGGCGGGGATGTCCGCGAAACGATAGCGGACCTGCAGAACCCCACGCGTCTGCATGGCGCGAGACTCGGCCGCCTGCGGACTCTCCGCCGTTGCGCTTCCCTGCGTGGTCCTCGCGCAGAAGGGGAGGTCGGCGGGCGGCGCCGCGGCCCGCGCGAGCCAACCGGAGGCCGTGACCACCGACCGTTCGCGCTGCGCCTCTGGGCCCTCGGGGCAGGGAGCGCCCGACTCTGCAAGCACGTCGGGGGCAGCAGCGCCCCCGCAGACATCCTCGCCACTGCCCCAATCTACTGCGAGCTCTTCCTCAAGCGCCGCTTCCGCCTCTCCACCTACCGGCGCAATTGGCGACTCGAGGCGGCCGCGGGGGCCATGGGCATCGGTGGGCCGGCAGGGCTCGGCGCCGAATCCTCTGCTGCCTCTGCGTCTGGGCCGGCATCGGCCTTCGCAGTGGTGGCCGCACTGTGGGCATGATGCGGCGGCGCCTTGGCAGAGCTGGCAGAGCCTGGCCCTTGCTTCCGGGTTGGCGCGCCCACTTCCGCAGCCTGGGGAAGAGACCGCGCACTGCGGAAGGCATGCGGGGCCGCCGCGGAAGAACTGGCAGGGCCTGGCTCCTGCTTCGGGCTCGGCTCGACCACTTGTGCAGCGTCTCGACGCCTGGCACAGCGGCAGCCCACCTTCAAGCAATTCGACGGCCACCGTCGCCAGCGCTTCCGCGCAGCAAGCGCGCGTGCTGCGGCGGGAACTCCTTGCCACGGGCCACGGGCTCTCCGCCAAGCCTGTGCATCCATGCCCTGCCTGCGCCTCCTTGCAGCGCGCCGCGACCGTGCAAGGTGCTGCGGCCCCCTTCGTGTGCTAATTGTGCGTGAGCTCGAGCTCCACCGGTTTTTCCGGGATGTCCCTGTACATAGACCGCCGCGTTCTTGCCCATGTCGTGGTCGCCGACGTCGTTCTGGGACAGTTTGGCTAGATGCCACGCCGCGCCACCTTCGGAGCCCTTCCAAGCGTCTCGAAGAGCTGCTGGCCCACAAAGGCGCAT